CAAAGTAAATAACTAATAATATTGCTTCCCCTGCCCAGCACTTTGATATTCACAGATCGCAACAAAAGTTCTGAAGCTCAGCAAAAGTTTTTCGAACGATTTTAAATAATCTCTTAGCTTGATAATCTGGTTCCCTTTCAAGTCAAGACAGAATATCTGATTTTAATAGCTAATCTTATATCTCAAGATTTATCTGCAACTTATAGATAATAAAAAGAGAACCATCTTAATCCATATTTCACTGAATTATTAGTTATCATGAAATTTTCCATTCTTTTTTCAGTCATTTCTTCCAAACTGGTTCATCATCTTGGCTCCTCTCGTTATCATCATAGCACTTTGGTAACATCTCTCTCTCTCTCTCTCTCTCTCTCTCATCTCAGGCTGTCTACACTCAAGATTAAACATGATCAGTCAATTTATCGAAGACAATAGGTTAAGATACTGAATCAGAATCAGAATCATTCGAGTGTTTTGATATTATATTGATAACTGAAAATGCTCAATCTTCAAATTCTCTAGGGTGAAAAAAAAGATAACAAAAAGCTTCCCTTCCATTGACTCTATGGACACGGTTGATAAACACTTTTCAATTCCTTTGATTGTTGCTTCATTCATGATCATTCAGCTTTATTCAATCATTATTGAAGCCTCAATGAATTATCATCCATACTCACCGAGTAACTTCAATATTATCATTGAAATTATTTACATGGAAAACATCATGAGAATCAACCTAATACAATGTTACAAAATTTTCTCAAGCAACTGTAGGGAAAATAATTAACATAATCAAATAATTATTACACATTTTTCTCAGTTAATTTATCTAAATAAACTATGAAATTAATTATCGGATGAGATGCGGAAAAAAGACATTAAATCAAATTCTGTCTGAGAGAGAAAAAAAAAGATCTATTAAAATCTTTATTAGTATTTGTCTCTTTTTTTCAGATTTGTCTCTCTCTCTCTCTCTCTCTCTATGTGACATTTTTCACCAAATTAACTAGAACTCATTTCGAGCTTGAAATTGATGGGGAAAAGCTCAGAATGGGAATGTTGAAAGCTAAAGTTATTTCATATTCACTTTCATGGTATTTATTCATTTAATTATGTCTCTTTTTTCATCCCTGGTTAGTAGTCATTGTTGTTTTTACGAAAATAAGTTCATGTTCAGTTATCTCGTCATATTAATAATAATCATAATCACACTAGACGAAAAGTTCAATCTTACCTCAGTGAATTTTCATGGAAACAATTTTCGTCTTCCTCTTGGATTCAGTTTTCTACAGATGAAACTTGTTTGTTTTGGAACTTTTTTTTTATCTTTTCTTTTTTTCAATGTTTCATGACCTCATGGTATCTTTCTCATTTCCTGATATACTTTTAGAAACATACAGAAAGAGAAACGAAAAGAAAAGACAATTATCATGAACTTCCTGAGTTTTTTTTTCTTGGCTTCTCATCAACTGGACAAGTAACATTTCTGAATCTTTCTGGACATTTGGCAAATGTATAACACTTTTCACTGTCCACTTTAGATGGTGATGAACTTTTTGAACTCTCTCAGTCCAATGATCACCTGATATCATTGAACAAGTAATTTCATGATGATCAACATGATAAAATGAGGCAAATATGATGAATCTGATTGACTTGAAAGGTATTGGGTGAACAGAGAGAGAGGAAAGATGAACCGAAAAGTGTTACAGTCTTCACATACTAACAAGACCTAATCATCACATTGATTATGCATCAGTTATCAGCTTATGTTGTCTATGTGATTTAAAGCTTTTAAAGTATCCAGGGTGAAAATTCATTCAACTGAGTGAGCTGAATCCTCATATACATGTATAAAGAAAGGGATCAACTTACTAAGCTCAGTATGTGAGAGAAAAAAAATGCTCATGATAATGTAATCTACACTTTAACTTATCATGAGAAATTGTTCCCATCAGGGAAGTGAAATCTTTGCTCATTGAAAAACATGAGATAAAAAATGTTCATTGAAATGATGAGAAATTTATTTCCCCTTGTCCAAAAATATCAATGTTAAGTTTTCTAATCATGAATGGGAAGAGAGAGAGAACAAATTTCGCTCCTGAGTAACTGATAATATCTCGTGATTATCATACTAAATACACTCATTAAATTGTAATTTGATAATCAAATTTTAAAATGATCAGGATGCAACTTGGAATCTTATACATTGAAGAGATGAAAAATTCTGGAAGAAAATTTCATACTATCAAATACTGAACATGAACACCTACTTATTATTTTGTAATGAATTCATATTCACTTGGAATATGAACTGGGTCATAAATAACCTTTCATATCTTTTAGTAATAAAATTGCCTCAGGCATTGTTATTATTATTTAATTCTTATCACTATTTTTGCTATTCAATTTTTCTTATTTCTCTCTCATTTCACTTCTTTCAGTTCCAATATCTTAACATCATGTTTATTTCTCATTTTTCCTCATTCCACCTTCATGATATTTTCCCTCCTTCTCATCATTCTTATTTCTCCATGAAACAGCAGTTGAAGAAATCAGTAACACTTGGAATCAATAACAGATTCGACTGATAAATGTGAACATGATGTTATGTGGAATGTTAGTATAACTGTTATCATTATTATTGTTCTAATGATTGAAGAATTGAAGAATCAGATTAAATCATGTTATCGAAAACTGAGCTGAATGTGATTATTGTTAACAGAATGAGCTATTAGAAACTATTGAAAATAAGGTTAGAACTCTTTGTTTTGTCTGTTATGTAATTTTCCAACTTGGAATGAAAATATCACTCAAAATTCTGATATCACCAACAAATAAACTCCTCTGATGATTATCATCATATTCTTGATGATTAACTTGATGCTAGAAAATTTATCATCTGATATATATTGTAAACAATTGTTTTCTCCTTTCATTTTCATGATAAACTTGAGCTTAAACATTTCAACTGAATCCTCTTTGCAATATATATTATATAATATATCCTATTACTCTGTTCCTATTATCATGATCATTATTTTTTTTCTTCCTTCATCATTATCATGATTTAACAAAATAAAATCCTAATAACTGAGTAAACTTTTCCCTTACGCCTGAAAGTTTATTCATTTGTCACCTCAAATGACCGTAAGAAATTTTCACGTTAATCTAGTGAACAAAATTCCGATTCAACATGATAAAAAGTTTCAGTTATTCAGTTTCCATTGAGATAACTATTTTTCTCCTTTTCTTTTTTCTTCTCCATGAGTTCAACTTCTCAAATCGGAATAGTCATGAGAGAACAGCTCATCACCAGAAGACAATATTATCTGACTATTATAAGGATAGACAAATGATCAGGAAATTGGTCAAATTTTGAACACAATGATAATATTTCATGATATTAACTTTTAAGCTGAGTGATTCTTAGACAAGCAATGGTTATCTCACTTGAAATGAATAATTTATAATGTAAAATTTGAGTAGATTGCAAATTTTGTCAGCAAGATGAAACTCATCCTCCTGGTAAGAGAGGATAAACTTTCCATTCACTGAATCAGATAATTTGATCAATTTTTTCCTTACCAATTGGAATCATATCATGTTATACCATCATGAGGATATCATATTGAATGAGATGATGAAGAGAGACAAGAAAAAAAAGTTCATACTCTAATTCAAATGAAGGTTAGTAGAAAACAAAAAGGGATTGAAAGAAATTCAAAGTCCTATCAGAATGTTGAATATTTATTATTATTGAATATCTTGTCTGGTGAATACTCTTCTTAAAGATGAGAGAAAGTTTTAAAGAATTGGATTGAGAATATTGTTCACCAAGAATGAAGAGAAAGATATTATTACAAGGTAACATTTATGGTAAACTTTGAGAATACAGAATTTGATTGATAAAGATACCAGGGAATGAGAAATTCTGAGAAAACAGATAACATGAATGTTGGAAAGACTCAAATTGAATCAAAAATGAGTAATGAGTAGATGAAGGAAAATGTTGGAAAAGTGAAAATGTATCCATCCTTATGACAGAATTTCTTGAATTGGAATTAGCATGAAAACGAAATGAAATAGAAAATGAAAGAGTATCAGGGAGAGGAAAAGTTCCACAAGAAAAAAGAGCAGTTATAAAGTTTACATATTCGAGATTCTAGAACTTTCTTCCTCTCCCTCCCTCTCTCTCTCTCTATCGTTTCCAGGGAATGATATTCATTCACTGAGTAAATCATTTATCAGATAAAAATGATTACCATGAAACTGTCGAGTTGTTTTTGTTTCATCATTCATTTCAATAAAATGATAACATAATTATGTTTTTCGATATAATTGAATCATGAAAAAGTTCATTTGGAGATTCAATTCTTACGAGTTCTGAACTCTCTTTCTCTCTCTCTCAGTACTCATTGGAATTTTATTTCTCTTCATATTCTCACTTAATCGTTTTAACAAAACTTTTTTTCTATTAGAAATCTAATAAGATTATATTAGATATATTTCTTTCCTGGTATTTGATTAATTTAAGATTGAAAATGATTTTGACACAATCAGTTTGATTCTTTTCAATTGGAATTCTGATTAATTGATTTTCCATCTACTTTCAATCGTTATCGACAATTAAAGTTAACTCAAGTGAGTTGACCCAAAGTTTTGCTTTCCATTAATCTTTTGTTTATCTCACAATGTTTTCTTCAGATCAATTTGATCACAATTTACCAGACTAAATCAACTCTTTAAGTTTCAATACACTTGACAATCATGTAAACTTTATCGATACTTTATCATGATAAATGTTTCATGAAATTATTGCACAAACGATGCTGGCAATTGATTTTATACACAGAAAATTGTGAGAGCAATTAATGAGAATGGAAAAACAAAATTTTCTCCCATTCGAAATCAAAGTTTTCACCTCAGGGAAAACTTTGAATATAATGCAAATAAGAATGGAAATTATTTTATCGAATGTAACATTTTAATCAACTTACCTGAGTTGCAATTTGTTTTACAATGTTAATCACAATTAACTAATTGTAGTCACTTTTTTCCTCTGATTTTCTCAGCTCTAATATTTCAATTTAAATCCGTTCGACGAGCGATTGTGTTTAAAGTCCAAAACCAATTCACTGATAGTCTCTTTGAATAACTGATTTAAATAAATTTCCACTCGCAAATTTGGATGAAATTAAATAGATGGTGACACTTAGCGATTTCAATACTCGAATTTTGTTATTTTGATATCGATGATTAGAACGATTCTTCAACTGAGAAGAGCAAATGAATCCATAGGAATTCAATGGGACATAAGATTAAACGAAAAGAAGAAAAAAGTTCAAGTTCGAAGAGCAAAAGAAAAACTCATACCTCTTTATTCCCACGCATTCTCATAAGCTCAGCATTCTAATATCGTGAAATGTATTCACTCTGAATCGATAGTGAACTCTACAGGATTCCAAGTGAACCTAAATCAATGAATCGAGAAACAAACATGGAAAATTACCTGATAGAACTTTTTGTATTTTTAATTCGTAAATTTTTTCTTATTAAAAAAAGTTGACCATGTTTCGGGTAAAAAAAAACAAAGAATTCAAAAAAAAAAATCTTTTCGCCATGAAAGCAAGTTCTGAATTTCGTTCAGATCGATGGATTTGTTACAATGGAAACTGAATGTGGAGCCGAATTCAATCATGGTGATGGATAAATAAGGTGGGAAGGTAATGTACCATCTAGAGACTGAAAGAATACCAATTGAAGTGACTCCTCGTAACCAGGTATCAATCCTGAGGTCGAATGGCGTTTATGCCTTTTAAGTCCAAACCAAGTATACAATACGATTCGATTGAGAATAAGTTCTGGGTGTTTTATTGATTTAATGTAATACGTTGATGTTTTGGCACAAAATGAACCTTTCTCATTTTCGAGTCGTGAAAAGATAACATCGGCTACAGGTATTCGTGTATAACCCACTCTTTTTGAATCAGCGAATAGATAAATTATTATATCGGGAAAATCGTCCTGAGGATCAACCAGAAGATCTTCAATTCGACCAAGATAACCAGTAACTGTCGATAAACATTCAGGTAAATTTGTTTCGTTCAATATGATTAGGGTGTTCTTAGCATCGGCGGATAATTTGATTAACTCTCGTTGACGATATTTGGTGTATAGTAAATCTAATTCATTCTTAGGATATTTTGACGGCATCACGGTCAATGCTAGGAAACGATTACAGTGAACCATTAGATCTTCGAGGACACCTCGAAACCGGCGAAAAGTGTCCTGGTGTTGTATCAAGGCCATTTCTCGAACATCAGTCAAACCAATCTCAAGTTCCTCACCGATTTTCCTTATCATATTGTGAACAAATGATCTACTTCGAGTATCAATCATAAGCTGTTCAATTCCAAGTAAAGGTCGTTTATCTCCTAAAGGTAATCGGAAGAGATCGGTATCATCCGTGGCCTCTGGTTTAAGCGGCATTGTCGCTGATGATTTTACTGGAATTGAGTTTTCTGCTTTACCATTTGTCTCTGAATTTCCAGTTATATCGCCACTTACTGAGCCTCGTTCAGATTTTTCACTTGTTTTTGAAGTCGAAGTGATAACCGATGAATTGTCCAACATTTTCGCACTTTCTTGCTCATGATAACCTTTGATTGGTGTTGATCGCGCTGGTGTTGGCGTTTTAAACGGTGGTAATGAGTCTTTGTCATCCGAACCAATAACAGTATCGACAAGTGAACCAATGGTTAGATCCAGAATGCTTGGTGATCCACATCGATCGGGATTGACGTTACCACCAATTTCGACCTCATAGGATAATTTACGGTTCTCCAATTTTTTCGAAATCATATCAGACGAATATAAAACACCAAAGAAAGTGAACTCATCTTCTTTCGGATAGTTGATCTCAGAAAGATCACAAATTGGTCCACATGAGACATTGTGTTCAATTTGTTTAACAGAATTAAAATCGGTTGAATTTTCTTGATTTTCTGAAGGTAATTGTTCACTATTTGATTGTGAGACATTGGAACTGCTTAGATTTGATCGGTCAATTGAAGGTTTGAACCTTTCTGATTATCGTCAATTACGGTTGATCTGATTGAGATTAACAGTTTACCAAATAGACAATTATCACTTAGCGAGTGATCTTTAGGCGATTCCTTGACGACAAGGTAACTTGGTCCGAAAATTGGTCCATGTCCCCGATCTAAACAGATCTTTGACAAATCGATTGATCGAGTTAACGGTTTAAAGTTTCCCATTGATCCTTTTGATTTATCGTGAACTTTGATTGTCATTACCGGAGGTTTATCGATATTCACAGTTGTATGAAAGGTAATCATCTCGTTCCAGATTGGATTTGAGAATTTTTTTATCGAACTTGTTGATCCTTCAAGATCACCTAAAGCGACCGATACACAAAGTCCACTTGCTTTACGTGATCGAATCCGAGAAACCAGTTTGTCCTTTGTCCGAGTTCTGACCAGTGGCATTTCACCAGAATAAATATTCACCATGACATTCATTGACTTAATGTGAGATTCAATTGGTGTATGTCGACTCAAAGGTGTAACAGGCCGGATAATCGGTAAAAGATTATCTTTATGCTCGTGATTTGGAAGATCAATAATTAAATCACATTTCAGGTATCCCACTAATTCACTTGTCTGTTCACTGAATAGAGCGAGCAAGTGATCTTTAATGGCCATTCCAGGTTCGTTATATAAACTGACCAGGTCAAGATCAACCTTACCAAGGATTTTGGTTCCTTTAATGTATCTACCTGATTGGAATAATCGAAATTCAATCACATGATCAAGAAATTGTGATAAAATTGTATTGAAATAAAAGGTAAATGTTTCATTAAAAGTAACCGATTGATCAGTTGAAATCAATTTAATCGATTTACGTCCAGTTTTAGCTTTTTGATCACCAATTTCAATCTTTAATTGTAAATTCACTTTGGAAGTTGTCCCAATTGAGCTGATATCTTTACTATCCGTTGATGGTGATGAGATGATCGATTTGTTATCATTTGCGATTAACTTAATTTCAAACACGTTAATTGTTAAATTGTACTTTTGAATTTTATCATTTAAATTTGATGCTTCGCGGCGATCATTTAATTCAGTTACCAGAACTGGGGTTGTTATCGAATCATGATATTCATTTGGCATGGGAGGCATTGGATCATGAAGAGATAACATGAAATCATCGAAAACATTTGAATGAACCAAAGTCATTTTGCTTTGATTTAAATGATCAACCGATCCAGAGGAATAACAATTTAAAAGATTGACCCACAATGAGGAAGGTTAAATGTCAACACAAGAAGCAATGTACACAAATAGAGTAAAGGAGAGAGAGAGAGAGGAAGAGTGAGAAAGTGAGAGTGAGAGTGAGAATGTAAACAAAGATCAGTTGGTAGACTGGAGAAGGAAAAAGTTCTGAATGAATTAAAGGTAAACACAAGAACTCGAGACTGAATTCGAGCGTTGGTGTTATCTTTAGTATAATAGAACTTGGAACAAGTGAAGAGAAGCAAATACCTTCGAGGTTACTGAGGTGAGAGAGCGAAAAAAGAAAAGGATGAAGATGAGTGAGAGAAAAAAAGAGAGAGAGAGAGAGAAAGAGATAAAGGTAAAGATTAACCGAAAGAGAATAAAAAAAAAATTTATCAGGATTTTTTCTTCTTCTTCATCATCATCATCATCATTATCTTCATCTTCTTCCATCTTCCATCTTCCTCTTACAAAGATTAACCTTGTTGTTGTTGATTCGGCAGTTAAACCGGTTCTTCGAGTTTCAGGTACAAACTTTTTTCTTCTTCTTCTCTTTCGCTTTCTCTGTCTTTTTAAATCTTTTTTTCGGTCGATTCCCGTACAGTCGTACGTAAGTAGCAGTGAAACTTATATACACTCTCTTGAACACTCCTCTTCACCTACAGGGTGGACTTGTTATCTTAACCATAACATATACCTGTATTATTACCTTGGTCTTTGCAGAAAAACAAAATGAGAAGAAAAAAAAAATTCTATTAACTTTCAAGTTACTTGGCGACTTCAAGGTTCTGTCTGACCTTGATTAGTTCAACTTAGGGACAGTAAATGGCTTATCTTCATCTTCATCTTCATCCTAAATGAATAGTAGTCGTTAAGTTAATCCAATAATATTTTACTTTCTTCTGGTCAACATTTTTAACGAGAAAACAACTTATCTGGTCAACTTTGTTGTTAACCTTTTCTCTCTCTCTCGCTCTTTGCCTTTAAGGCCTGAAGAAAATGCTTCCAACTATTATTATCATATTAGAATTGATAGTAAATTGATCAGACTGAATTTTACTTGTTCAAGAATTAATTAGTTTCATGTTTATCATCATTCGGTGCTCATCACTCATCTCATTACGATTACTTCTTGATTCTGATAATCATCATCTCACTGAATCGCTAATCAATTCTTGGTTAAAATTCTGGTTTTTTCTCAGTTTTTTATTCTTCATGTTATTTATTTGATTTCGATTTATTTTTCTCTCTCTCTCTCATCTTTTACCTTGGAAATTTATGGTATTTATCATTCGTTTGTGTGATTATGCAATAATTAAATTGATTGTCGACAAATGATTAATTAAATTGGCTTGAGATTCATTTGAAATTTAACTTTGGTTTCTTGTGACAATTTGTTGTTGTCAAGTATCAATAATATGATTGATACAATTACCATGATAACGATCAACATTTTACTTGATTGTTATCTCATCAAATTTGTTGACCTTTTATGACCTGACATTTTCAACTAATAATAATATTTATATGATTAACTATCAGGCAATTATCAAATTGTTATCATTTAATTGTAGTAATTTTAGTAGATTATTTTAACCAATCAGTAAATAAAGTTGATCTTTACGGTTAACAATTTAGATTTACAATTTTCATCAATCGCTCATTAAGATTGTATTATTATCTTCATTATTATTATCAAAATTGCCTAATTAACTTCCGTAAATAAATTGGATCAAGTTGGAAGAAGAAGAAAAAAATAAAAGCTAATCTAAAAAAATATATAATTGATGTTGATTGTTAACAACAATTTAATTTCGTGACCTTAAATCAATCCAATGAAGATGTTTAAGAAAAATTTAACTCTCATCACAATTATGATTTGGTGATATATTCAATAACAAGAAGAAACTCAAATTTCATGAGAAAATTGATAACCAGAATTTGATATTACCTTGAATTAAATCAACAGCAAACATACATATTAATTAAATGATTAACTTTAATTAAGAAACAAAAAAAGTTTGAATGGTAAACATTTTCATCGTTTGAACCTCTTGAATCGTTAATGATGGTGGATGGAAAAAAAACCTCTCGATTCCCTCGATAATTATCATTCTCGAATAAATCATGTTATCAAGATGATAATTGATGATAACAATCGGCAATTTAATTGTCACAATTAACGGTTTTCGATGTCAACAATTAGTTATAATTGAACATTCCCTTGGTTCGAAAGTGTTGCCATCTGTTGGTGGAAATTGAAATGACCGAACGTAGGGTGATGAAGGTTGAGTGAGAATTTGTTTTGATTTTTGTTTTTTTGGTGAATTTTAATTGTTTGTGGTGTTTTTAATTTTGGCTTTGAATCATGGCCTCAATTAAATTGTTACTGTCATCTCGATTGGCTCGAATGGTGATCCCTCGAACCAATGAGAATAAACTGTTGACCCGATTACAAGTAAATGGTATTAATCGAGTGTCAACCGCTGGTATTTGTCATAAGGATAATATGGATCCTGTTGTTAAATCACTTAAGCCTAAACCTTTTCCATACAAGGAGAAAAGGTATCGGAGTTACATGTATTTACTTCCCGGTGGGTCAACTGTTGCCCGATTTGATGAAAATACGGTTATCGTATCAATTGAAGGTCTACCTGGTTCGGGGAAAACAAAATTTGCCAAAAAATTTGCCGAAGCAACTGATATGTATCATCAACCTAAAGCCAATTTTGACTTTTATTATATTAGGCCTGATGGTTTTGATTTAAGAAGATTTAATCCAATTTTCTTTGAGGAAGCTCAATATCCAGATATTGATTTGTTTCTTGAGAAACCTAAACATCCTAAAATTGGTAGAATGCAATGTGAAATGTACAGGTTGAAATACTTTTTCTACATTGAAGCGATGGCTCATTTATTCAACACTGGTCAAGGAATTGTCACCGAACGGACTCCTTGGTCTGATCAAGTTTTCATGGATGCATTGGTTAAATGTGGATTCACTAATAAGGATCGTAAGTATCTTAAGTGTTTCTAAATTCTATTCTAAATATATATAATTGTAATTCCATCTAATTCTCTTGATTCTCATATTTTTTTTGCCTCTTCTCTACTCAGATGAAAGATTTTACGCTCGAATGAGACACAATTCTCAAGTTAAATTATGGAGACCACATCTTGTTATCTACATTGATACACCGATTGAAACAGCCATGAAAAATATTAAAAAACGAAATAATGTAAATATAAATTTGTCGTCGTTAGATGAAAAATATCATCTTCACTATTTATGATTGATTATCATTTTGTTGATTCTCTTTTGTTGATTTGTTTATTTCTTTATTTTTCAGCCCAGAGAAGTTAATAGTCCAGTTTGGAAAAGTGATTTCTTAAAGTGTATCGATGAATCTTACAAGAATAAGATTATTCCTGAATATGATGAGCATGCCTACGTTTTGGTTTATCCTTATAAAGATGAACTTGATGTTAATGCGATTCTATCGGACATTGAGAAAATGGATTTCTGGCCATGTCTTAGTAATGAAAAATTATACGATTGGCGAATCAGTGATGATGGTGAAGTCAGTGAATGGAGAGTAACTTTTACTAATGAAATTGAAACACTTATGGCAAAGTGTAATTTACCTTCTTGGGATTGTGAGGGTTATGATTATTCACCTGAAGCTGAACAGATTCAGATGCAATCAGAAAGATCTCTTGTAAGATATTAATAACATTTTTCCATCCTCACCATGATTAATCTGATTAATTTCTCTCTCTCTCTCTCTCTCTCTCTCTCTCTCTCTCTCTCTCTATTAACAGGCTACTCCTTACTGGCCCGGTTTCGATCCAGATAGATATTCAATGTGGGAACTTGCATTCAAACGGGAAAACAAATATTGGGCAGATAGAGCTATGAACTTATTCCCAGCTTATAGTCCCTAATTGTACCAACAATTAACAACGATAATTAATGTAAAAAGAACAGACAGTAAAAATGAACGTTACTAAATTAGATTTACTTCTAAATACAAAAAAACCTTCATTATTATGGTTCAATCATCCGGGATATAATCAATTACAATACGAAATTGAAAATTTTCATCCACTTTTAATTTCTCTGGAAAATCTAAAACCTATCTTGTTAATAAACTATCGACACAAACAACTGATCAGACAGTTTTGATTCTGTGAGAATTGAACAAATAACAAACTAATCAAATAAGAAAGTTGCAACAACTAGTCGATTTATTAGGTTGAGTAATAATTAGTGTCCGTTTTTTTAATTGTCGAATCTTTGATCGGATATTTAATTTAATTGCTGAGGAGATTAATCAAATTTTTATAAGGGATATATTAGAATTATATTGTAGATTGTTAATTGTGATTAGAATAAGAATATTAAATTGCTCACAATTATACATTCGATTCTTTTTGTTTGTAAATTAGAATTTCAAGTTACCGCCTGTTCGCCATTTCTGCGCATGCGCAGACTTGTTGCTCTCACTGAAGCTTAAGAATTGAAGCTAAGCTGAGATTTTGTTTTCTACAGAATTTGGCTTTTCCTTGATTGTTATTGACATTTTATTTAGTGATTAATTGTACCATTGTTATTAAATTTATTATCAAATTTTTGTATTTCCCAATTTGATTTTGTTTACGCTACATTATGGCTCGAAGAACCGTTGCAGGTCCATTCCCCTATTCTTATGGTTTATCATCTTCTTACAATTCGGGTCCTGTTGAGTATCATCATGAGAGAGAACCACAAAGAGAATCTATGAATGATTCGATGAGATCCTCTTCCATGAGAGACGATTCAATGAGAGACAGTATGTCTGGAAGAAGTGATGATTACCGTTCATCTTCTGCTTACAGTGAACTATCCAATATCCGTGATGATCCACAGGGTAAAAAGTTGTACTCTACATTAGAAAGATTGAATTCAAATACAACCGGTGAAGGAGCATCAGATGAAATTATGAGGCTGTTTCCCCCTCCACCTAAAAGGTATTGTCCTACAAATGAGAAGCCTGTATACAAAAATGGCCACTGTATTCCTCGACAAGATGCTCTCCTTGTTGAGATGATTATGAATGACAAGGCGACCCTTAAGGCGCAACTTGATGTCACAAAGCAAGCGATAGTTGGTAATGTCAATTTAAGATTTCAACTTCTTTTCTTCTGGTTAACCTAAATTATTATGCTATCTTTACTTATGTTGATCTACTTTCTTTGTTTGTAGGCTTGGACTTTGTAACCGAGTTTATTGACCCTGATGGCGGTGTTCGAGTTTATGAGTGCTCGCTGTGTAAAACATTCCGTACGGTTACCACAGCCATGGAACATATCACAGGTTATAATCATCGAGTCAATTATATTGTACGTTTTAAATATTACATTTCAACCAATAGAAGTTTCTTTTTTTTCTTCACTAACCTTGATGTTTTTGGAGAGAAAAACATGAAAATGATGTTAATCTGATATTCTATTCTCTCATAACATTTTCGTTTCATTTTTTCTGTTTTCACAGCAAAAACAATTTCCATCTGAGGTGAAAATGTTCCTTCTTCCCGATGGTAGGAACAAAAATCGTAATAAAGCTTTGATGACAGTCGCCTCAAAACGGTGCTCTGAACTTGAGCTTGTCTATGGAAGAGGTGATTACAATGTTGTCAATGAGAAACCAAAGATGCCCGAAGGTGCTCTTGATGCTCCAGAAAGTGATGTCTTACCAGAGGATAAAAAGCTTGATGAATTAAAGAAAGATCTGAAAAAATATTCAGAGCTCAAGATTGAAACACCCGAAGAATTCAGATTGGTCAGATCATTAACTGCTCTATTGACCAATGCTATGTGTGAATTTAAATACTCCCAAGAGCAACAACAAGAGCAGTCTAACACTGATTAAGTCTGTTTAATTTTTTACATGCAACAGCAGAAAATTATATCTCGACTTGATCAATTTAATCAATACCTAAATTGATACCATTTGTAATCAATTAGGTCTTAAACAAGCAAAAAAACAAGCAAAAAACAAGCAAAAAACAAGTAAAAAACAAGCAAAAAAAAAATGATCAACCAATCACATAAACTGTATTAATTTGATTCGTCAACTTATAATCAACCTTTTGACTCCATAACAATGTATTTAACTTTGTCATTCAACTTATTACAATTATAATCTACATGGTATATACCAAATTATTAATAATTTCAATCATTAAAAACACTATTTCCATTTAATTAAACATTTAAATCAATTCAAAGTCCATTCTAATCACTTGAAAGGCAATTTAATCAGCTTAACCGCTGCTAATCAACCAATAATTATCAAATTCAATCTTGAGATAACCTTAATTGTTTCAATAACAGTTAAGGTCAACCATGAATTTCAACTGATTAAATGAACAATTTAATCCAATAGATGCCGCCAACAATTGTTGATTGTTGATTGTAATTGTATATTTAAGAGGATGCGTGTAACTGAATTAAAAGTTACATCTTGTTCCTGATGAAAGTTAATTGTAATCATTTGCCTGGTAAGGCATTAACACTGTTTTCACCTTGATCAGCGATTAAATTGTTCCAACAAATTAACAATCAATTAAATTGTTCATCTTTAATAAATTCTTGTTGATCTTAAATTTTTTCATTGTGTTTAAATTGTTGCTATTATTGTGTTTTAATTTCAATCGTCATCTAATTTAACTAATCCGGATTATGTTTCTTTTAATTTGTGACCTTTATCATCTAAATTAACTGTTAATTGTTTTAATTAAATTGCCAATTAGTTGAACGACAAAATGACAGGTAAGAAAAAGTTAATTTGCAAGTTTGAGATTTCATTTTCTCAACAATTTATAAATTACATGCTTATTCAATGTTCACCTACTCAAACCAATCAAATTGATGAGACTTTCACAATGAGAAAATACAATTAACTTAATCACTTTCTGTTGAAATGTATCTTTGTATCACTTGGATTAATATAAGATGTTGGAAAATTGAAAATCTCAAATAGGATTAACTGGAAAGGGATTAATGAGATATCTTTATAAGTGTGAATGTTTCCCTTGATAAGAACTTTTTTTTTCTTTAAATTCGATGAAAATTTCATTAGAAGAGATGAAAAAAAAGTTCGAGTACTAATAATCAATTGAACTTTTTTTTTCCTCAATTTGAAAATTCATTTGTTTTCTCATCGAACAGCAGCAAATCTAACAAACAGTATTGAACCTTTCGAAGACTCTGTGGTTAACTATCCGCCACCACCTCCTCCACCTCCACCAACATCTCATCAACACCATGTAACATCCATACAGAATTCCAATCATCCAGTGAATCCATCGGAAAATCACAGTATTCATCGTCTCTCACCAAACGGAAGTCAAACTTATTCATTTCACCGCAAATATGGACCAAGAAAAAAATCATTCATCGGCTTTGATGGTAAGCTAATTGAAAATTGATTAACTAATTAGAACGAAACAATAACTGTTAGCAATCAAATCGATGGCTTAATTTTTTTTGTAGTAATTTTCTGCATGATCTGTTAATTATCAATGCGAAAAAAATTCTCAACTCACTTTGTTGATTTTCTCTTGAAATTTTGAAACATGAAATAATCAACTTTCCCTCAGTGATGATATATTTATCCTTCATGCTCCATGTTGGTTTGCTTGAAATGCAAAGCATGTTAGTCTGTTATCATCACTTTAATCATCATCATCATCACCTTCATGTTAGATGTTTAGATTGATGATGATTGGAATGCTCACCAGAATTTAAAGAATATTTTTTTTTCGAAACTTTTTTATTTCTATCAATTCATGTTGAGTTAAATGGACGAATATAAATTTCCCTTATACTAATATTTTTCTTCATCTTCTTGCATCTCACTTACTCATATTATCGTCATATTTGAGGCTATTTTTACCGTCTCTTACTCCCCCCCTGAATCAACAAGCATCATGAGGTATACATATAACTGATTTATATCTGAATAAAATTCTGGTTGAATAAAAAGGTTGATTATAATGAAGATAGAGTAGCTAGTGAGTAAACATTGACAAGGAGTTGGAAAATTCAACAAAGGTCAATGTTAACCGAGGAAAATGTTATCGGAAACTTTTTAAAATAAATGCAAGGTATAGACACAATATGAGCATCATGATGGAATGGTGAACATGATAGAAAACAAATTTCCATTTATCTTCATTCAGAGTCAATGAAACTTTGTTTTCTTTTGTCAGTTAAATCTTCATTAACTTTACAATTGAACTTTTCATGAGACTAAACATCCAAGTACTTGAAACTTTCCACCTTTCAAACTGATTGAAGTTTACAGCTCTAAGTGTCCAGCTTTAATGGGCTCCCATGAAAAGTTCAGGTTATTACAGAACTTTTTACTCCTCCAATAAACATATTTACACACTCGTTATCATTTGTAGTTAGAACAATTTTTTATCGAATAGTTAATCTCTCTCTCTCTCTCTCTCTCTCTCTCTTATTTTTTCTCTCATGAAATGCATCAATTTAATTGTGGGATGAATAATCTCATGAGTGTTTATCTCTTTGTCTATTATACATTGAACTTGTGATCTTGTGATTATCCTGTTTGATTCAGAAAAAAGGTCAACACACACTGAACCTCAGAATTTGTCAAAAGATGAGAAAATGAAGATGATGAAAAAAGAACTTATTCTTTTTCTATTGACATTTTTTCTTTTCCTCTCTCTCTCTCTTCCTCCGATCATTTCTGTGTATTCTCAGTGAGAATTTCTCACTCTCTGAGTATAAATATTTGCATCTTAACTGTAATTTTAGTATGGATTACATAATATCTCCTTATCAATTTCTCCTTTTTTTCATCTTCATCATATTGACATAAAATATAGATAATGATGAGAATCATGTTAAGTTCTGGCAACCAAACGTTATTTGTTGAGATGAATAGAAAGATATTGGTGTTTCAATATCGATCCGATGATAACTTTGTCTACTTTTTTTCCCGATCATCAGCAAACCATCATTACATTTTCCTCCTCTTACCTTTATCTTGTTTCCTCTTCCTCTCACTCAATTTTTCGTCCATTGTCCACTCCCATTAACAGAACAACAATCAACTCTACTAGTTTCCCAATATCAGAATCAAACAAGATCAGACAAAATGTAGTTTCCAATTAACGAGTAAAATTTCAACAACAGATCATAACCTGAAGCAAACAAAAAAGATTCTAAAATAGTTATTCGATAAAACAATTCCATATTCTTACACCAATTGCTCACCTATGATTCAACTGTCATAATATGACCACGAATCTATTTCTCGATGCTGATTAAGTCTAGAATTTATCATTTTTCATCGAAACAGTTGCAACAAAAGTTCAACAGTTTTGTTTATCCATCGTTCTATTACTGGTCTGAGAAAATTTTGATCTGAACGACGAATCAAAAGTAGAATTAGGAAAAGTACTCGAGAGATCCCCTGAAATTACATGGGGATAAACCAGAGTAAAAAAAGGAGATTAGATAATAAGAATTGAAGAGAATGAGCTAAAAAAACAGAACTCCAAATGATAACGAAATGAATGTTCCTTGTTTGTCTTCTAAGCGAAATGTATTTGCTACATTCTCTCCAGAGGATTTTGAAAGAATAACAATTCTTGGAAATAGATTTCTCTTCATATTCTTTCTCTCTCTCTCTCCCCTTTTTCATCTTTTATCTTCTTCCATCAACAACATTCTCGCTAGAAATAATTCTGACCTTAATATTACTTTCAACTGTTACCTGACAGATTTTCACTTACCTGTACAAGGAAAACCAAAAAAAAAAGAGTAACCAACAAATATCATATATGAAAGTATATATATGTAACTTTGTTATTCTCATAACAATTTACTTAACTGAGTTTTTTTCCCTTGTTGTTGTTGTCTATTTGTTATCTTCCATGATGAAGATAAAGATGATTATTATTACTGTTATTATCAGGTGAGGTTAAAGTTACTCTCCGATGATGATAACAATAATACTAATGACTGGATTCTTGAATTTTTCATGTTGATACATTAAAGGTTTTTACTTGTCCATTATTATCATGATGATGATGGAGAGATGATGAAGATAATCCGACTGGGAGTGTTACTAGTGACCTTAACTATTATAATGCATCAAGTTAATCATTTGAAAATTAACCCTTAGACTTATAATATTAATCTATCAAATTATTTGAACTCAAATTCAATTGTAACTGTTAACTTTTCATTCTAATATAACATTTCATTGTGATGGATTAAATTTCTGTTCATTCATTCAAATTTTATTCAAATGAATTCCTTTTGTTTACAATTTTTAATTTAAACTCCATGACAAAAGGTAATATCTTATTCCCTGTAGAGTCAAGACACCATCTTTTCACTGTTATTTTCATGATAAAAGTTGAATCCACAGTCTTGTTAGTCAAGAATTCATCCAAAGAACTGAAAACTTTTCTGTAAAAAAAAGAGAGATAATCCCAATTTTCTTGCTATTGAATATGATGGTGATGAAGATAATGATATAGCTGATAGATAATCATCTCTTTCTCTAACCATGGTAAATGTTCATACCCTTTAGATTACATATTCCAAAAGGTTCTTAAGCTTTTCTTTTCGATTGCACTTTAACATCGCCATTTAAGCCATGTAATCATGTAAAACTTGATTCAGTCTCTTTATCCTTTACCTCAATCCCTCAGATTCAATAGTTCACTCGATAAGGATAAATCTTTTATCTTCATCTCTTTCTCTCTCTCTCTCTCTCGCTATTTTGTCATCTTCATCCTCATCCTTTATCCTGGCTCATCTCTCAATCTAAATCTGTTTGTACTTGTATTAGTTTTGATTGCTTGTTAACTGTTTGTTTGTTAACTTCAAATCAAATTAAATCACTTACTCCAAGTGCATTTATTTAGTTAATTTTTATTTATTTCATCCCTTACCAAGTGATTATCGTCTCTATAACTTTTGGCTATTTAATTGTAGCGAAACTTTTACTTCCTTTTTCAACTCAATTACCAACAATCATCTGCGACAATCCTATTTATTGTATTTTTTATGTAAACAGTTAATCATATTAGATCAATATTAGAACTTGTCCATTTTTATAATTCCAAACACGTACTAATCATTTGAGAATTGAATTTTAAAGCAACGACTAAAGTGATCATAAGTCAACTAGTAATACGATTTAATGGCCAAATTTCAATCGACATGAGGCCAATACTTAGCTCGATTAGACCATTTCATTTTGGAACTTTTTTTCTGTAAATTTTCCACAACATTGAAAATCTCAATATTCTGGTTATCATGTTTAATACATAACCTCATTACTTTGTATCATCACCTAAACCCCTCAGGTGCTATCGGTTATGTTTAATAATTGATCTGTTTAAATTGTCTGTCAAATTTAGTTAATTGTTAGAGCTCATTTTCCCTTAGAGCTTAAAACTTTGAACCTTAAAAACTTTCAAGAGTGTGAAAGAAACACTTAAAATCATGATACGAATAGTTCTGAACATGGTAGACACTTACCTGAACTTTTGAGATTACTGGTTGATCAGATTGAATAATTTAACAGAATGAATATTTCATCAGTTGAACAATGAATAGTTTTTACACTAGGAATCAGAATTTACTTTTGAATTTCAGAAGAATTGGTAGAGGAAAAATGTTCATGGTTATACAAATCTCCCATGAATGTGATTATTTTTGTTCCAGTTAAGGTTAAACCTTCAGCATCTTTATCCTAACCTCATCATTTTAAGTAATAACTTCAATTCATGAATTATTTTAGTCCTAGTATTTGATAGTTTTTTGTTTGCATCAAGAAGTTCATTTCTACTGTGGTGATTTTCATGAGAATCCATGATTAATGTATTATAATTGATCAATATTTCCTTTACCAAACAATATCAATAATCCTAACATTGAATGTCCATCGATAAAACTAATCCATTGATTAAAGATTAATCTGATTAGTGGCATAAATTATTATCTCAATTCATTTCTATTGTTATTATATATTAATCAAATGGATCAACTAAATTGTGATGTTACAATTTGTCTGATTGAATTTGTATAAATAATAATTAGAGTGAATAATTTTTTCTTCCTCATCATGAAACAAGAACAATAATTGATATTAATTGGATAACAAGCGAATTGATATGAGATGAGAAAATGAGATGTTCGAGAAGAAGAAAATAAAACCATTAGAACTTAGAACTCGATATAATGATTGAGAGAGAGAGAGAGAAAGAATAAGATTCGATATGATGAAGTGAACGCCTTTTTGTACAGAATAAGATAAAAAAATCGAAAAGTTCTGAAAGTATTTAACCTCTTCTCCATGAATAGTTGTGTCTCTACGTATTTGAATCATGATCATGATATGAATTATTATTATCATT